AAAAAAAAAAAAAAATTATAAAAAATGAGTGCCCCGAGAGAAAAAGACCAGTGACCACTTAGGAAAAGCCATCGAGGGCTATCCTCAATTTAGAAGGTCAGGATTGATTCGGCCGGGGCTCTTATTTACTAAGCCCCCAGGAGCCCAGGGTCACTTTAAGAGTTGGGGACAAACCTGTCAGTTTCTTAGTCAACACTGGGGTGGCCCACTCGGTCCTTAGCCTCTGGGACCACTATCCTGTAAAAAACAATTATCCAGGGGGCCACAGGGAAAACCACAACAAGCCCTTGGACCACCAACCGACTTGTTGATCCGGGGAACGGCACCGTCACCCACTCCTTCTTAGTCATTCCAGAGTGTCTGTACGCACTCCTAGGACAGGACTTACTTCACAAACTTCTAGCAAATATTTCTTTCTGTGAGAGCCAGGCTTGCCTCTCAATTCCTCATCCCTTGACATCAGGGCCATCTCAGCAAATTCTCATCACCTGTTCTTTGTCAGACGAGTATCTCTTGCAGGAAGCTTTATCCTCAGAGGCAGATCAACCACAGACATCAGACCTTTTCCACCAGTTCCAAGAAAATGTACCGGGAGTATGGACTGAGACAAATTCCCCAGGCTTGGCGAGTTGCCATACCCCAGTCATGGTCCAGCTATTGGCAACAGCAACTCCAGTCCAGGTACAACAATATCCCATGAGTCAGGAAGCCAGATGGGGTAAGTCCCCCTGGAATACCTCCTTGCTCCCCGTCTTAAAACCAGGCACAAAGGACTATCGGCCTGTACAGGACTTAAGGGAGGTAAACAAACGAGTGGAAACTGTCCACCCTACAGTTCCAAATCCGTACACCCTCCTAAATCTCTGGGGACCAGAACACCACCATTACACTGTCTTGGATCTCAAGGATGCATTCTTTTGCATCCCACTGGCCCCTGTTAGCCAGCCCATATTTGCTTTTGAATGGACTGACCCCAATACTGGGGTCTCGGGGCAACTCACTTGGACAAGACTGCCTCAGGGGTTCAAAAACTCCCCTACTCTGTTTGATGAGGCACTTAGCAAAGACCTTGCTGCCTTCCGAGCTGAGTCCCCCAAGTGTACCCTACTCCAATACGTGGATGACTTACTCCTGGCTACAAAAACCCAGGAGGCCTGTAAAGAGACCACCCAGTCATTACTAAAGACCCTACAGACTTTGGATTACCGGGTCTCAGCTAAAATGGCCCAACTCTGCCAAAGGAAAGTTACCTACCAGGGCTATATCATAGAGAAGGGCAACTGGGCACTAGCACCCAGCCGAGTCCTAGGGGTGCTGCAAATACCCACCCCCCCCAAGAAACACCAAGAGAATTCCTTGGGGCAGTAGGGTACTGCAGGCTACGGATTTTGGGATTCACCAAGAAAGCGAAGCCCCTGTATGCCTGCACTGGAGGAAATCAGCCCTCTACATGGACAGAGATAGAACAACGGACTTTTGACAAGCTCAAGACTGCCCTGACTACAGCCCCAGCCTTGGCCTTGCCAGACATCTCTAAACCCTTCTTGTTGTTTGTGCATGAAAAACAGGGAGTTGCTAAGGGGGTGCTCACCCAGACATTGGGACCATGGTCCCGGCCTACCTTTCAAAAAGGCTTGATCCCATAGCCTCTGAGTGGCCAGCTTGTCTGAGGTCAGTGGCAGCTACAGCCCTGTTAATCAAGGAGGTGGATGAACTAACCTTGGGGCAGGAGTTAAATTTAGTGGCACCCCACGCGGTGGAGTCACTACTCCGTGGAGCTCCAGGAAAATGGATGTCAAATGCCTGCATAGTTCAATATCAGGCTTTACTTTTGGACCAGCCCCGCATAAAGTTAACCTTGTTGTGCTTGGCTCACCACCTCGTCAACAAATCTAACACAGATTTAGGAAAAGACTGTTGGCTCTGTCTAAACCCTCAACCACCGTTTTATACCTGATTGGCTTCTCAATTACCTGCCAACATGTCCAATTCTTCATGCTCCCAATCCACACTCCATTTAACCCTGGGAGACATAGAAGAGTCTGGGCACTGCTACCACTCCCCAAATTTCACCCTTACAGGTTCTCCCTATGGACACTATTGTAATGTCTCCCACAATGTAATCTTTAATGGTAAAAACCTTTACTCTCAGGCCCCAGATACCATTTGGTTAGCCTGCACTTTTGGCCTCACCAACTGCATTTTCACATACCAGTTCAGCAGCTCTGCTCCCATACTCTGCACCCCAGTACACATCCTCCCTAGAGTCAACATTTAAGATGGCCAACAGGAACTTAACCTCCTGGCCTCATCAGATATTATTACTGCCTGATGGAAGTGAGTCCCTATCGTCATCCCTCTACTGGTTAGATTAGGTATTGCTGGCTCCACCCAGGTTGGAATATCAGCTCTTATAATTGGGGCCCAAAATTTTAAAACTCTCTCGCAGCACATAGATACTGATTTAAGCCACTTGTTAAGCCACTTGGAAAACTCCATTTCCCAACTCACTGATCAGGTTGAGTCTTTGGCTGAAATGGATCTCCAAAACCGGCGAGGACTAGATTTGTTATTTTTAACAAGGGAGGTTATGTGCCACCCTTAATGAACAATGTTGCTTCGATGCCAATAGGTCAGGCCTCATCCGAGAGAGCCTCTCCCTGGTCAGACAGAATCTCAAAACCAGAAAACAACTTCGAGAGGCTTCAGAAAGTTGGTATCAAAAATGTTTTCCTGGTGCCCTTGGCTCAATTCCCTCCTTACGGGCCTGGTAGGACCTCTGGTCCTACTCCTACTGGGACTTATGTTCGGCCCCTGCTTCCTAAACCAACTGCTCAGGTTCATAAAATCTAGGGTAGACTCCATAAAATTAATGAAATTAATGTCTAAATATGGGCCCTTAGAACAAACAAACAATACTGAACTGTTGGAGGAATTATTTAATTCCTGTAAATAAAACAAGGGGAGAATGTGACATGGTAATCTCTCTATAAACTGCATACCTCGACCATACCTCGGCTTCCATTGAAACTGCTCTCTGTAATCCTAATGTGACAGGCAAGCAGTCCAAACCCATGCCATCTTGGCCCCTGCGACTTGCAATAAGTAACTACGGTCTGTAATTTCCACCCTACCCAGACAATGTGTAAACTAACACTTATCTTGACTTCTGTGAACCACTTAAGTAACAATCAGAATGTCCAAAGTCCCCTGGCCCTCAGAAAGTCCGGAGCCCCTCACCCTCATCTCCACCCAGGAGGTGATTTACAGAATCCACTGGCCCTTGGAATGTCTGAAGCCCCTCAGCCCCACCCCCACCCTTCACCCTCACCCCTGATGTGGTTTACGGGCATAAAAGGTCTTGACACCCTCCTTTCAGGGGGCCATGGGTTGGACAGACGTGAGTCCTCTGTGGCCACTGGCAATAAAGACCCTGCAATTTGGCATACTTTTGTCTTGGTGTTGACTTTCTATGCTCGCTCCAGTATAACACATATACCTCAGAACTTAAAAAAATAATAAATTCAAGTAAGATAACAAATGAAAACCTGTTGCCAGGAGTTTGGCAGCCTACCATCCTCAGACACCGCAGCTGTTGTCGGATTGAACGGGCTAGGGGCTACGCCCTCACGAGTGCAGGACACAGGATGATTCTAAAGCCAGCCTCTTCTACTCTCCTCCTTCGCGGACAGAACCTTCTCCCTGGGACTCCAAGATGGCGCTTGCCGCAGCTGCCAGGTGTTAAGACGGCGGCACGGGGACGCGCCCACGCTCCCACGCTCCCACGCTCCCACGATCTCCTCTCCCAGCCTTCCTTGGGCTGGCAGCACCACTCGCTGTAGCCCTGTGCCAGTTGCCTTTCGGCCTGGGCGGTGGTCCCGCCTGCTGGTCAACTACCGCTCTACGTCAAGCGGCTCCGCGTCATGTGGCTCCAAGTACTGCTGTGGGTGCTGGGGCTTCCTGTCTGCGGCGCCAAGGTTGTAAAGGAAAGTGGTCACTTATGGCCGGAGGAGCAGCCAGCTCACCATCTCCAGGTAGGGGCTGTGTACCTGGGTGAGGAGGAGTTCCCACATGACTGGATGGACCAGGACAGGGCAGCAGAAAAGGCTGATGTGGTGCCAGGGCTGGATACCCAAGGCGATCACAGGGTGTTGCTGTCTGCGATTCCTGGGGAAGCTGAGGACAAAGTGAGTTCAGAGCCTAGTGGCAGCACCTGTAGCACTGGAGGAGCGGAGGACTCAAAGTGCAACCTCCCAGGAGGACTCAAAGTGCAACCTCCGAGAGAGCCTTTTCTCTCCAGATAGTGCTGGAGCACACTTCCCTGATAGAGAAGAGGAGAATTACACTGAGCCAGAAGTGGCGGAATCCTACACAGCCCAGACAGAAGACTACAATAGCACTGAAAGTCTGAAATCCCCAAAAGTGAACTGTGAGTAGAGAAACATTACGGGATTAGAAAATTTCACTCTGAAAATTTTAAATATGTCACAGCCTTTCTACCAGGTATGGCACTGTAACCATTCCTAATATTTTGTTATTTCAAGGAGCTAAACCAACGGCTAGATTTAATCATACAGATCGAACATTGGAAACACTGAAAATCTTATTTATAATCAGACAGGTATAGAAGCCAAGAAGATTGTGGTGGTAACTCAAGCCGACCAAATAGGCCCTCTTCCCAGCACTTTGATAAAAAGTGTGGACTGGTTGCTTATATTTTCCTTATTCTTTTTAATTAGTTTTATTATGTATGCTGCCATTCGAACTGAGAGTATTCAGTGGCTAATTCCAGGACAAGAGCAGGAACATGTGGAGTAGTGATGGACTGAAAGAAGTTGGAAAGAGGAACCTCAATCCTTCGTTTCAGAAATTAGTGCTACAGTTTCATACATTTTCTCCAGTGAACTGTTGACTTGAAACTTCAGTCCAATTAAAAGAATCATGCATTTAACTACTGAAAGTATAAAAAAATTATAAACTGGTGTTTTAACTAATATTGCAATAAGCAAACGCAAAAATATTCAATAGAGTGCACAATTCTTGTTTTTACTTCATGAACATAATTCAGTTTGAAAGGTGAAGACGTATTTTGGTATAATAGTGAGTAGAATGACATGCTTACTATACAGAAGGCAAAAATAGGACTCCCAGATTATAGTTTTAAGAAACCCTTGATTCCTTATATATGTTTAAGAAGGTTAGTTTTCTGTTTCTTTGCAACTGTTTTTTCCAGAGTCCATAGCAGGAAAGTATGTAACTAGAATTGGTTAGTGTGACCACTCAAGAAGCAAAAAAAAGAAAAAAAAAGCATCAAATGCCTTAAAAAAAAAAAAAAAAAAAAAAACCAGAACCTTCTCCCTCGGCCTACCTTTTATCCTCAGCTCCAAACACAACCAACTCTGCCTTTAAGAGGTTAGTACAAGTTAGATAGAAGGTACTGGGAAGTTTTCTGCTTTTAATTTCTGCTTAATGACTTATTGGCCAGGGCACTATCACGTCTTACTTAACAGCCTTTCCTGCACAATAAACCATGCTTGGCGCCCACGTTGGCCCACAAACCCTACGATTAAGCGATCGTTTGTCCTCGGGAGCTTGACAGAAACAGGAGTCTGAGGCGGGCTGGGAGGAGCCCAGATTTATTAAAGTAATAAATAACCTGGAAGCCCCCACCAAGCTGCATCCTCCCCCTTCTTATTTACTTCCTTTCTGTGGCTTCTGAGATGGGGGACTTAATTGCTCGGAAAGAGAGTTGCCGAAGAACTGCATAGCACTTGCATCCCAGAAACAATAAAATAAAACTGGGAGGCTCTAGGGCTACAGCTTAATAACAACTCTGCTGCTGGCTGGGCTGGGTTTCTCAGCAAGCACTCATCACATGTTTCTAGAAGAGCAGCACTCACTCTTGTGCACATAAATGCACTCAGTGAGGCAGAGATGCATCAGGCTGGCCAAAGGGAGGCCCTCTAAGATGAGGTTCTTATTCACCTTGTCATTTGTTTATCTCTTTTTTAATTTTTTTATTATAGATTTTTTTTAAAGAAAATTATTTGGCAAATATAACTTTAGAGGCAGAAATTCTTGAACATGTACTTGATATTTTTAAATACCTGTCTTCTCTGTATTCTCATTTGATCACAAATTTTTAGATCATTATCATAAAATATATACGTGTGGCTCAGAAACAACTTATCTAGCCAGAGCTCATCTGAATGTTCTCATATCCAAAACATTATACTATCTAAAAGCATTACGTAAGGAAAGCAATTTTCTAAAAAGTCAAAATAGACATTTCATATGTATACAAGCCGACGCTCACTTTTTCTCTCTCTTACACACAATTCTTACAAATGTATTTTTTTGCTTTCTTTGCCAGCCTACAAATTAGTAATACTTCTTATAGGCTTATTATTAGAGCCGGTCACTCCTCTTTCTACTTCACTTGTTTGAGTTAAGCTTGTGAAATTTATATAGCATAAACCATTTTAAAGTGAATAATTCAGTAGAATTTAGTACATTCATAATGCTCTGCCATCACCACCTCCATCTAGTTCCAATCATTTCATCACACTAAAACTCCATACCCATTAAGCAGTCACTCATTCCCCACTTCCTCCTTTCCCCATCCGTGGCAACCACCAATTTGCTTTCTGTTCCTATGAATTTACGTAGTCTATATATTTCATACAAATAGAATCATACCACATGTAGCCTTCTGTGTGTGGCTTCTTTTACTTAGATAACTGTCTTCAAGGTTCATTTACATTGTAGCAGGTCGTATTTCATTCTCTTTTGTAGTTAAATAATATTCCATTGTATGGATATACCACATGTTATTTATCCATTT